CCCATCTCCTCCCCTCCCCTTCTCCCGTCCCCCAGATATACGCGGACTTCATGGGCTCGTTCCGAGCGCACTTCCAGCACTTCCTGCACTCGGGCATCGTCACCGAGGTCGAGGTGGGGCTGGGAGGGACCCGCCTCTCCTCGTGCCCCCTCTTGCCCAGCAAACCCTACCATCTCTTGCCACTCTCACCCCTTCTCACCCCGCTCCCACCCTCTACTCCTCCTCCCCACCCTCTACTGCCTCCCACCTCCCCTATCCCCCTCCCCCGCTCCTCATCCCCCCCACCCTTCCCGCCTTCCTCCCCCGTCCCCCAGATATACACGGATTTCATGCGCTCGTTTCGAGCGCACTTCCAGCACTTCCTGCACTCGGGCATCGTCACCGAGGTCGAGGTGGGGCTGGGGCCTGCTGGCGAGCTGCGCTACCCCTCCTACCCCGAGACGCACGGCTGGCGCTTCCCTGGGATCGGCGAGTTCCAGGTGCGTCGGCGGGAGGGCGGGTGGGTGGGTGGGTGAAGATGGGGGGGGAGAGAGAAGTTGCATCGTCACCGAGGTCGAGGTGGGGCTTGGACCTGCCGGCGAGCTGCACTACTCTCCTACCCCGAGACGCACGGCTGGCGATTTCCTGGAATCGGCGAGTTCCAGGTGCGTCGCTCGAGGGGGGTGGGTGAAGGGGGGGAGGGGGGCGGAGAGGAGGTGCATGGGCATCAGAGGTTGGACTTGTGGGACTTTGTTCGGGGCCCGCTGGCGAGTTTTGAGTCGACTCAAAACGCGAGTTGTGGGGCTGGGGCCCGCTGGCGAGCTGCGCCATCCCTCCTACCCCGAGACGCACGGCTGGCGCTTCCCTGGGAATCGGCGAGTTCCAGGTGTGTGGGTGGGTTGGGAGGGGGGGAGTGGGGGAGAAGGTACATGGGAATAGGAGGTGGAGGTGGGGCTGGGCCCCGCAGGCGAGCTGCGCTACCCCTCCGACTGCTGAGCCGAGACGCACGGCTGGCGCTTCCCTGGGATTGGCGAGTTTCAGGTGCGTGGGTATGAAATGGGTGGGTACCGCTGCGGCATGTGGGCTGTAGCGTGGAGGTTTGGTGGATTCCAGGTGCGTGGGTGCGAGCTGCGCTGCGCTACCCCTCCTACTTTGAGTCGCATGGCTGGCGCTTTCCCCGAATCGGCGAGTTCCAGGACCGTGGGGCGAAGGGCAGAAGAGAGTGGGGAAGAAAGGGGAGAAGGGAGAAGAGAGAAGAGAGAAGAGAGAAGAAAGAAGAGAGAAGAGTGAAGAGAGAAGAGAGACAAGAGAAGAGGGCGCGGGAGGTGTGTGTGGTAATGGGAGGGTTGCGACATGTGGGCTGACGGTTTGGCGGCTTCCAGGTGCGTGGTTGGGAGGGTGGGGAGAAGGTGCATGCGTATGGGAGGGTTGGCCCTGGAATGGTGTCGACTGCTAACACGCCTAGAATATCCCTACCTCCCCCCCTCTCCCTCCCCCTCCGCTCCCTTCGTCCCTCCCCTCCCTACCAGTGTTACGACAGGTTCCTGCTGGCGCAGCTGAGCTACGTTGCAACTGTTGACGCGCGTAAAAAAGTCGTCCCTTCCTCCCATCCCCTCCCGATCCTTCCCCCTACCGCCCTCCCGCCCTCCCTGCCAGTGCTACGACAAGTTCCTCCTGGCGCAGCTGAGCTACGCGGCGCAGGAGGCGGGGCAGTACCAGTGGGGGTACTCGGGGCCGCACGACGCGGGGCGGTACAACGACTGGCCGCAGGCCACGGGGTTCTTTGGCGCGCACGGGTCCTTCGCCACGGACTACGGGCGCTTCTTCCTCGAGTGGTACTCTTCCGTGCTGCTCAAACACGGGGACGCCATTCTCGAGGCTGCTACGGATGTGTTTGTCGGCCTTCCCATCAAGCTCGCTGCTAAGGTGCGGGCTGGGCGGGGAGAGGAGGGCAGGGAGGGAGTGGAGTGCAGGGGAAGGAGGGAAGGGAAGTGGAGGAGGCGTGGTTGGTGCTTGCTGGAGGTGGGGTGAAGATGTGGATAAATGGGGAAAATGGAAGCATGGGTTTTTTGACCACGCAGAAGGGCTTCCAGGCGCCTCTAACCCCACGTGCTGTGCTGCCCCTGCCCCCTCCCTTACCTCCTCTTTCCTTGACTGCCTTCCCTCCTCCCCTACCGTTGCCAAGTGGCAGGCGTGCACTGGTGGTACAACTTGCACGCGGCGGGGAACAACAAAACCTGCTTTCAGATGCCCTTAACCCCTCGCGCTGCCGCCTCCTCCCTCCCTTCCTCCCTTTCCTCCTCCCAGGTAGCAGGCGTGCACTGGTGGTACAACTCGCACAACCACGCGGCGGAGCTAGCAGCGGGGTACTACAACCTGCGCGAGCGCGACGGGTACCGCCCCATTGCGCTCATGCTCGCCCGCCACAACGCCATGCTCAACTTCACGTGTGCTGAGATGCGCAACCACGAGCAGTACTGGGAGGCACGCTGTGGACCGGAAGGGCTCGTGCAACAGGTGAGGGAGAGTGGGGGGAAGGAGGAGGGGGGAAGGAGGAAGGGGGAAGAAGGGGTGGGGATGGGGAATATGATTTGAGTGTAGTGGACATCACGTGCGCTGAGATGCGCAACCACGAGCAATACTGGGAGGCGCGCTGCGGGCCAGAAGAGCTCGTGCAACAGGTGGGGAGAGGGGAAGAGGGAGTAAGGGGGATGAGCAGGAAACGGGGTTGTGAGGGGAAAGGAGTAATGTGTCATTTCTCTTCTCCCCTGCGTCACCATCTCTCCGTGTCCCCACTGCCCCCTCACCTTCCCCCGTTTCTCGGTGTTGGCGGCATGCAGAAACACCCTACCCCCGCTTATCACTTCCTGCCCGCCCGCCCGCCCCTGTATCACCACCACCTCCTGCATCCCCCTCTCGCCCCTCCTCCCCCACCACTAACAACTCCCACGCCCAGACAGGTTCAGGGACGGGCGGAATGGCGGAAGGGCGTGGGAGTACCACCTCTCTCTTTCCGTACCTCTGATTACCCATATCCCCTTCCCCACCACCACCAACGTCCCTCACTCCCCTCAGGTGCTGGATGCGGGGTGGCAGGAGGGTCTGGAGGTAGCCTGTGAGAACGCCCTACCGCGCTACGACGTGGCGGCGTTTGACCAGATCATCCACAACGCGCGCCCGGACGGCATCAACTGGAGCGGGCGGCCCAAGCGGCGCATCTCCTCCTTCACCTTCCTGCGCCTGGGTCCCGACCTGCTGCGCGAGAGGAACTGGGCCGAGTTCGTGCGCTTCGTGCGCCGCATGCACGTCGGGCTGGTACGCGCACCTGTCAATGCTGTGGGCATGGGCATCGGCGTGGGCGTGGGCGTGGGCGTGGGCGTGGGCGTGGGCGTGGGGATGGGTAGATGGGGCGGTGGTAGATCTGAGCAACTGCGATTTGATTCCTTCCTGTTGCGCTGTTGGGCGGTTGCTGCTGTGCCTCTGCTACGCATTGGCCCCACAGACTTCCGTTCTCAATTGTTTTCCCACTCCCCCCCCCCCCCCCCCCCCCCTTCCACGCTCTTCCAGTCCACTCTTGGCTCAACCACCTCTCCCATCCCCCATCCCATGTCTCCCCCCTCCTCTCCTCCCTTCCCAATCCGCCCAGGATCGGCATCCCGAGCCTGAGCAATACTTCAACCCGCGCAAGCTGGTGCGGCGGTCGCGGCCCAAGCAGGCAGTGCCGCAGGACCCCCCTCCTGCCCCTGTGGCGTCCGTGCCCCTGCACTCGAGCTCTCTACCCCTCTCCCCACCCACTGCTGCCCAACCCTTCTTCTCGCCTGATGCCCCCGGTGGTGGCTTGGGTGCTGAGATGGAGGCACAGGGGCAGGGGCAGGGACAGGTGGAGCAGGGTGGAATTTCGCCAGGGGATCAACAACAGCAGCAGCAACGGCCGGGTTTCTGGTTTGGTCAGGGGAGGGGACGAGGCAGCGGGGAGTGGGGGGGAGAGAGTGAGGGGGAGGAGGCGAGAGGCATGGAGAGGTTGAATCCTGTGCAGTGTAGGGAGGGAGAGCAGTCAGAGTGCTGCCAAGACAACCGGACAGGCGCAGGCATAGGGGCAGGGGCGGCCGAGGGAGGTAATGGTGGAGAGAGGGGCGACATGACCAGTGGCATGGCTGTGAATGGATCAGAGGACAGGGACGGGACGGTTGGAGCCGCAGGGCTGTCAAGTGGAGGGTTGGGGAGGGAATTCGGGACAATGGGAACAGGAGGGGGAACAGGTGGGGGTGGGGGATTGGGAATGGAAGGGAGTGGAGATGGTGGGTTGTCATCACCGATAGTGGCAGTGACAGAAGCGCTTTCTCTTGCTGCAAGGAGTCTTGTCACGCAGTTGCTGCCCGGGCAGGGTAGAGGGGAGGGGGAGGGACAGCAACGGCAGGATTCCACGACAACAGGCCAGCAAGAAACGCAGCAGCAGCCGCAGCAGCAACAAGAGGAACAAGAGCAAGGAGAGCAGCAAGGGCGAGAGGAAGCAGAGCGGCAGGGGGGTGCGGAGAGTGTAGATAACGCAGGCGGTTTGAGCTGAGAGGTTTCTGCTTGTGTATTAGATTAGCCATTCTTTTGGTGAGTCAATTATGTGTGTGAAGTCTGTCAGTGTGTGCTTACAACTGCTCCTGTGTGCTTGCAGTTGCAACCATCCCGGTGTGCTCACAAGGTTCCCTCCATCGCTCAATCTGATCCGCTAGCCCATCTGTTGCTCTTGTACTAATCTCCCAACATTTCCCTTCCTCTCCTCCCCCCTCCTTTCCCTTTTCTTCTCCTCCGTCTGGCAGCAGGAGGAGCATCAAAAGTTTCCTCCCCTGCGAGTAGCACATTAGGAGTCAACTGGTGGTTGGCTAGGCCTGGCTTCCAGCTGCAAGTAGCAGTATCCTGGCAGCACTACTTCCTACCCGGAGCGTCCACTAGCTCTGTATTTTGAGCCGCCTCAAAAATCGTCCTGGCAGCACTCCTACAGACCCACCCTGGGTCCATTAGTATAGAGTCTACCCCCCATCCATCCGACGCGCGTTTCTCTGCCTGCAACGCATGCGCGAATCAGAAACGCTCCATCCATCCCACAGCTCCTGTCCTGGCCACAGCGGTGTTTTTGCGCAGTCCTCAGTCAGACAAGGGCATGCACATGCATGCTCCTTCTCTCAAGTGGTCCGTGTATTAGATCCGAGCGATTACACACATGCTCCTTCTCTCTCGCGCTGATGTGTGCATGTGCTGGTGGTGCACACCCTTCCCCCCTTTCTTTGTGGCATACCATGGCCCGTTTCTGCCAAGGGTGGGGGTCCGGAGACTCCGGCGCAGGCGGAAAGGAATTACTCAGGCAAGGCAAGGCATCATGGTGCTTTGCTTTCGCTGTGGTGTGGTGGCTCCATTCTATTGGTTTGTGAACAGCCCCATATTGGGCCGTGCTGTGCTGTGCCTCTGCTTTTGGCACACTGCCTGGATGAAGGTTGGCCTACCGCTTTTGACTGGTTTGCACCAGTCATCATCACCGTCCCTGCCACCTATGTCATCATCATCATCACCTCCATTGCCATCTCCATGGGTTGGTCATAGACTCAACGGTGCTATCACCATCACGAAGAGATCTGATCAGCCTGCCTTTTAGTACAGCTGCCTCTGCTGTCTCTGCTGCTGTTGCTGTATGATACATGTGATTGGCTTGCATTATTCTACCAGTAATAGTTAGTGATAGCACAATGCTGGTTCCCAAGTCACTGTTATTATATTTGTCTGCTTGTTCCTCTCCCCCTGTGCTGTCCTGTCCTGACCCGCATTTCTGTTCCGGTTGAGGATTGGACATGTAAATAGAACATGTATAGGGCCCTAATGAATATGCTTTGTGTAATTTCTTTCGGTCACTTGCCCTCATTTTGTAGAAATTATGTTTCTAAACATGGAAGAGAATTCTTATAGAGAAGACAACCCAAAGCCTGTCTTACTTTTCGTATCACAGGCCTCTATTACTCAGGCTGCTGATTCAAATCCAGCAACGGAGGATTGAGCAAGCACAGACCAATCCCACACTCCGTTCGCTCAGCCAACGCGACAATCCCTTGAGAGAGTCGCTTTTCATGGGGGTGTGCGTTCGTTTTGCGAAAGCCTTCCGCAAACAGGCAGGATATCATATGCCAGCCCGCGTGTTGCATGATCGAATGGTGTGTGCAATGGCAGAAATGTTATGTATGCTACTGTACGATAAAACTGTTCGTCTGATGGCATGGGATGGTGGGTCTGACTGCATTAGATGGGGTGTGTGATTGCACGGGATGGTAAGTGTGAAAATGCGGGATGGTGTGTGCTGGCGTGGGTCGTGTGCGATGAGATTGGATGTTAATGGGCGCCATGTTATGAAATTGACTATCAGGTGCATGGAATAGTGGGTGGCACCACATTTAGGCCAACCATTTACAGACCACTTGTAGCCTGCTTCAGTCCTCAGGTAGTCGGTCTTTCATGGAAATATTTTCTTCAACTTTTAAGTGAAGGTGTACATAAACTGAAAATCAGAACCTCACGGTATATTATTTACAGATGTTGCGAGCGACCCTACTCGTCGTCATTAATGAACTTCCCTGTACCGGGGTTGATAGCCGCGATAAAGAAGAACACGATACTGGCGAGAAGCAGCGGCTCCACCTCCCAAACAGGCAAACCAGTCTCGATATTTAGCTGCGCCAGCGCGCCTCTCCCGGTAATCACCTCACCCACCAAGCTCGCCGCAAACCCTAGTTGCGCCATGCGCCCTACGAATAGCTCATTCGCCTTAGTAAACCCGAACAGCGGCCCGTCCTCGCTCAACCCTAGCGCCGCCTTGAAACTCCCCGGCTTCACCGGCGGACCCGCAGGCGCCTCGTCGTCCACGAAGCGCCCGCGGTCACCCAGACCGCCGATCGCGCCGAGCACGGTGAATGCGATGAAGAATAGGAGCAGCGGCTCGGCCTCCGTGATGGGGATTCCGGTTTCGAGGTTGAGTTGCGAAAGGATTCCCTGCCCGGTTACCGCTTCGCCGAGCAGCGACGCGGCGAATCCGAGCATCGCCACGCGCCCCACGAAGAGCTCGTTAGCTTTTGTGAAGCCGAAGCCTCCGGATGTGCCAAAGATACCGTCTTCGGTGCGTGACTGCTTCTTAACGGGAGCGTTCTTAGCGGGGGCGGCGGCTTTGTTGAAGCCGAAGAGCGCGGTAACCCCAAGGCCGCGGGGGGGGACGGCGGAAGGTGCTGCTGCCAAACGACTGAGGGAGAAACCAGCGCCCTTCACTGCTGCGCTGAAGGAAAGGGCAGCGAGAGACTGGTGTGCGACCAGGGAGGAAACCATGGCGATAATTATTCGAATCAAGATGTTAGAATGAAGGAGAATGTCGGGGAAATGTTGGATAGTCAACTGATCTGGAGCACTGAGATTTCTATTGAAGGGTGTCGAGGGCCATGTTTTTATTCGTTTCTCAAGCCGCGAATTGACATTGACTGTGGAGTGGAGCGGAGCTGTGTTGTACCAGAAAGGGAGTAGAAATTCATCGTGAGACGTGGCTGGCTAATCAGGGCGCCACGTTGGATGTTCCGCTTTAGTGCTCGATGGTTTCCGACCAAGACGAGAGCCAGATGCGTGGCCAATTTGCTGCCACAAATGCTGGCACACGTCAGATCTCCTAAGCGATGGTCTGAATGATCTGACGTGTCGTCTAGAACCTTTTGGGACAATCAAGCACCGCTCGTATTGCTGGTATTGACCAAATGTGACCATATTTGCTGGACGAGTGGTACGGTAGCACCCCTTTAATCATTACACCTTTTAGGAACCCACTCCGTACGTAAATAAATTTGCATCAAGAATTACTTTGCACCTCAGTTTCTTCACAGTGGGGTGATATCCTGAGGCATAGTACTGTTGGTGTTACGAGTGCAATTGAGTGAACGAGCGAGAATTGCACTATCGAAACAAGAGTACAATGAGCGAAGGTATGAGCGAAGAATATATAGCGAAACTACAGTGGTAACGGTAATGGTCGCGCGACGAGCCTGGGACTGAGGTTGGGAACGTGTCGAAGCGTAGGCCCGGAGCGCGGGTTACCAGCCGAGCCGTGAGGTCGGGATGCGATGTGCGAAAATGGCGGGATGATGAATGATGCGATGGTCGCGAGTGGTAACGGTGCTGACTGAGGTGCTACAGTGATGTACGCGTTGAGCAGAGATGCGAAGTAAGGAAAAGGGAATTTCCTTACACTACCCCCCCCTCCTAAAAGGTCCTCCTTACGAAAGCGCGTGGACGTCTTTGAAGTTTCGGCTGCGTAGATAGCCGGTGACGACAGGGTGGTTTTCAATTCTGTCCAGGGGAACCCAGTTGTCCTCGGTGGGTGTACGATCTTTCCAGCGAATCAGAAACTCAACTTTTCGGGGCCCTCGAGGGTCGCGAACTCTGTGGCTCAAGATTTTGTCGGGAGTGATGACTGGTTCGGTTGGTGGTCGTGACATGCTGGGTGGTCGATGTCGTGGGAGTTGGCTGGTGGATGGTACGTAAGGGCGAAGCAGGCTGACGTGGAACGAGGGGCTGACGTACCAGTCGGCAGGAAGTAGGAGGTGCGCGGTGACAGGTGTGATCATGTGACTGATTCGAAATGGCCCACAGTATCGAGGGCGGAGTTTGGGAGTGATGGGCAGGCGGAGGTTCTGAGTGTCGGGTAAAACGAGGTCGTCGGGCTGATAAGTGACGGGTCTGCGGTGGCGATCGGCGTTGCGTTTAGCGATGATATTTGATTTTTGAATTGCTTTTGCTGCCCTGGTCCGTGCTGCTTGCAAAATCTCGGCGAACTGTTGTGCGCGTGGAACGGGATTGTCGGGGTTTGGTGTCATGGGTACTGTTGGGTTCTGTCCGTAATTCAAGTAGAATGGCGACTGTTGGGTCGTGGCAGATGGCGCGTTGTTGTATGCGAACTCGATGAGAGGCAGCTGCTGCTCCCACGTGTTTGGATCGTCACACGTGGCTCGAATGAGTTGCTCCATAGTCTGGTTTGTCCGTTCTGTCTGTCCGTCGGTTTCGTGGTGATACGATGAACTGAATTGAAGTCGCGTGCCGAACTGCTGCCACAGGTTCCGCCAGAAATTACTGGTAAACTTCGTGTCCCTGTCGCTGATGATTGACGCTGGTATCCCGTGCAGTCGAACGACGGTGGCGATGAAGAGTCGGGCTGTTTCCTCGGCCGTGATTGATTTCCTGCATGCTGCGAAATGTGCCATTTTCGTTAGTCGATCGACGACGACCAGGATCGCGTCATTCCCACTCGCCCCGGCCGGTAACCCCGTGACGAAGTCCATCGTCACCTGCTGCCAAGCACGCTCTGGAGGTGGGATTGGTTGTAATTGTCCTGCCGGCCGCTTCCTGGTTGACTTCATGAGTTGGCAAGAGGGACACGATGCCACGTGTCGTTGCACGTCGGTCAACATTTCCGGCCAGTAATAGTACCGCTGCAGCTGCTGCCGTGTTTTTTCTACTCTGAAATGTCCCGAGGTAACTCCGTCGTGTGCCTCCTGTAACAGTAGTTCCCGTAGTAGCGTGTACCCTGGTACCCAGATGCAGTCGGATCCAGCTTTTACGTAATAGACCCCCTTGGCTACTGCGAATTGCTGTGAATTTCCTCCTGTGAAGAATGGGTCTGTTTGATATCCGTGGGTCAATAGTCCTGTCAGTAGCGGGCTGGTCTGGGCGAGTAGTATCGCATGGATTTGGGCAGTGGGGCGGGTCAGTGCGTCGGCGATATTCGAGGCTCCTTTTTTATATGTAACCGTATAGTGGAAATTCGACTCGAGGAAGTCGAGCCACCGAATCTGTCGTGGGTTGAGGTGGGGCTGTGCGCGAAGGTACTGTAGGGATCGATGGTCTGTCCGTACTGTCACGTCTGCGCCGGTCAAGTAGCAACGCCACACTTTGAATGCATGCACGATCGCGAGCATTTCGCGGTCGTGTATCGGGTAATTTCGCTCAGGTGGATGTAGCTTGCGTGATTCGTAGGCGATGGGTTGGAGGCCGTTGCCGAAGTCCTGTAACAGTACGGCTCCGATGGCGATGTCACTCGCGTCTGTAACAACTTCGAAGGGGCGGTGTGGGTCAGCGATGCGTAGGACGGGTGGTGAACAGAGAACATTTTTCAGGGCAGAGAAGGCAGCATGCTCTTTCTCCCCCCACGTAAAAGGAACCCCCTTTCGCAGTAAATCAGTGAGCGGGGTTGTTAAGCGTGCCATGTCGGGGACGAAGCGACGAACGTAATTAACAAACCCTAAAAAACTCTGCAGTTCCGTGAAATTCGTCGGAGGATGCCACGCTTTTACGGTATCCAGCTTCTTAGGGTCTATCTCAACCCTAGCCTCCGAAATGACGTGACCTAAAAACTCTAGCCTGTCCCGAAAAAACTCGCACTTGGAGCCCTTGGTGAGTAACCGATGTGCCTCTAAAATTTTAAAAACTGCTTCGAGATCTACTAAGTGCTGCTGCTGGTCCCGACTGTAAACGAGGATGTCGTCGAGGTAAACGATGACGCATTTATCTAAAAGTGGCCTAAACGTTTCGTTCATGGTCATCTGAAATGTTGCAGGCGCGTTGGTCAGCCCGAAAGGCATCACCGTGTACTCGAATGACCCGTACCTCGTCCTAAATGCTGTCTTGGCGCAGTCCGATGGTTCGACCCGAATTTGATGGTAACCTCCCCGTAAGTCTATTTTCGAAAATACTCGTGCGGTTCGCAGCTGGTCGATCAGTTCGTTGGCGCAGGGGATGGGGTATCGTGATTTTACTGTTACCCTGTTAAGCGCTCGGTAGTCGATGCACATGCGAAACCCCCCGTCTTTTTTCGGTGTGAACAGTATCGGTGCGGCGAACGGTGACGAGCTCGATCGGATAAACTGCTTCTCTAACAGGTAATCTAACTGCTTCCTTAGCTCGTCGAGCTCAGGCTGTGTCAGTCGAAATTGGCGCTGTACAGTTGGCTGTGCCCCCGGTTCTAACTCGATCCTATGGTCATGCGCCCGCTGAGGTGGCAGCCCTTGCGGTAAGTCATCCGGAAAGATACCCGGGAACCGTTTCAGTAGTGCCTGTAGTTCGGGTGGTACGGCTGCCAACAGTTTCTGCAAATCACTCAGCCGGTCCTCTTTTTCCACTAATGCGATATCCACTGCGTACACGTCAGCTCCAGCAGCGACAGCCCGTTTCATCGTGATGGCATTGACCTGGACCGTCGAAGACTCGGGTGGCTGCCAGCGAGGTAGGACGACCCAGTTACCACTACTTCGCACTGTGCAGCTACCCGTCGTCCAGTCAATTCGTGGGTTATACCGTCGCAGCCAATCACGTCCCAATAAAATGTCGTGCCCATCCAGTGTCGTTGCGAGCATTTCCTGTGTAAACCCGAAGTTCCCTCCGCAGCGGACCTTTACCCTCTCCACCTTTTCCCGTATAGCCAGTGGCGTGCCGTCGACTAAGCGTGCATCTATCTCAGGTAAGCATCGGTTAAGTGTTAACTGTAATTTCCGTGCGGTTGCGGTATTAACTAAGCTGTGACTTGCTCCTCCGTCAATAAAAATCTTCACTGCTGCTCCCTGTATTTTCCCGTAGATTAGTACCGGGCAATCCGTCGCTGTACCCTCCTTATTCATCCGAGCCCGATCGATGGCATGAATCGGTACTGTGACTCGGTGAGGGTCGGTGTGGTTGGGCGAGCAGGCAGTCTCGTCAGTAGTTGGCCCAACTTCTACTGACTGCTGGCGTTTCCCTGCCTCTGAGACTCCCTCCCCTGCTCTGCTCCTCGGCGCCTCAGCTCCTCTGGGCATTCGCTCTTGCGATGGCCCGGCCTGTTGCAAGCAAAGCAGCGCCCCTTAAACGGTGCGGCAGCTGCATTCGTTGCGACGGCGTGTACAGTGGCGTGCTCGGTCGGTCCCCGAGGACGATGTCCGTAATTGGACCCCGGTCTCGGTCGGCGTAGAATGTCGATCTTCTCGGCGAGCGCGAGAATCTCGTTGAAGTTAGAGAGTCCGCGCAGCATGATCTCGTGCGAGATGTCCGGCTTCAGCCCTCCGACGTAACGGTCCACCCACTCCGCTTCGTGCATGTAGCCGACTTGCTCGCAAAGTGCGAGAAAACCGCTGGTATAGTCTTGAACTGACCCGAGCTGGCGCCAAGTGCGCAGTTTCTGACGCGCCGAAATTGAAGCCGCGATCGGCTCAAAACGCGCCCGAAGTCCTGCGCACCACGCATCCCACGTGCTGTATTGGGCGGTCTCGCAGAACGAACTCCAGGTGACAGCTGGACCCGAGGGCCCTTCCTCGTGCGAC